CAAACTTCAGCATCAGCCGTCACATTTATTAATGGATTCAAAATGACAGTGTGTATCATGGAATTGTATTCTCCTGGAATTTACCTATTAGTTGAGGTAGCATCGTGTGTAGTTCCGAAAACTGCCAGGAATTTGGGTCAAATTATGACCCTTTATCAAATTTTAATGAGCGTTCGGGTTAGTATTTTTTTAAGATCTTTGGATTTAAGTTATACTCCGTTTCCGCTAACTTGGTTTTTAGAATATTGCTGTAAATGTGTTAGGCGAGAAATCTTGTACTACGCCACTTCAAGAAAATTATAAGGATTGGCTTCGTCCAACTGCAAGTACACCCTCAAAAATTGGAAGTCATTTGACATAAGGAGCGGTGAATGTAGTTTAATTTGCACTTGTAATCATTGAAACTCTTATCAAATAATGCGGAAACATTGAGGTTATTCGGATTAATTCATCAGAAATGGATAGCTTTGAAAATCACTCGAAGAATTAAATAAATCATTAAAATCTAAGCTGGAGTATGCTTTGGTATTAAATTACCGTGGAACAACTTATTGAATGATGGGTGATCTATATTTCAAATGGTTGTTTTGGAAAATAAAGTGTTTTTTTTTAAAAAAGTTTTTTAAATAAAATATGGAGTAATAACTATATTACAATTCATAAGCAATTGTACAATATGTATCACGTTGCAATTTTTTACTAAAAACGAAAATTATTTTCGTGCTTTAATGTTATATATAATTCGAAATTACATCCTGCGCGAAAATCGGTATTTTGTATATAAATTGTGTAAAGATAAAAATTTAGGTCTATGACGTTAATATTACCATCAGTTGATACAGCGTACACTTATGCAAAATGGATACGAATCCAAAAGGGATTTTTCTATGAAGATCGCAAGATCAGGTACAATATTTGTGCCGGTAACTCGAAATTTTGCCTAAGAAATCACCTTTACATTCTAATAAAAATATAATAACAATAATTCTATTATACGTTTCTTATA